CCCCAAAACCCCAAAACCCCAAAACCCCAAAACCCCTAGCAATTATGGCCAATTGAACTTAATCTAAATATTTCAATGTAAGGTTTGGCCTGTTGAACCATTTTTTCGACCTTAAGGGAATATATTTAAAATGCCTTATCTTGCTTAGCAAAGAAGGATAGTCATGACTGAGCAAATAAAGTATTTAATGGCACGAAAAGGGAGACATTAGAAGGATTTCAGAATATTTTTGATGCTTAATTGCAATACTGTGTCACCAAGTTTGGCAGTATTATTACTGCATTACGGTGATCATCAACTATAAATATTAATAATAATTTTTTTGGATAGCCCTTCTTTATTTTCTTCATTTTAAAGTGTCATTGTTAACATCAATAACTGATCCGACTGGGCATCTAGGTTGCCAGATCTGAAAGAAATTGTAAAAAATGAACTTGATTGTAGCTAAAGCAACACAGATGGCGTACTGAATGGCAAGTTATAATAATTTATTGTTAACTTTGGTAAAGAGAGTTATCTTCATTCTTTACTGCAATATTTAGGTATAAGATACTGTTTATGGGTCGATAATCATCTTCAAATTTATGTGCTACCAGCGTTGATTAATAACTAGGCCGCATGCCTTTGTAAGGTCTCTGCTCTTTTACCTTCATGAAAGATTTTTGCTATTTTCAGAAAATTCATTGATCTAAATTAATCATATTTTATCGTTAAATTTTTAATATTGTGAGCATTAAGGTTGCCTATTAAGTTTCTTAAAAAGTTGGAACTTATCTTAACTTTTACTAATCCAAGCTCTATGAACTTTCTCATAATGGCAGGATAGACTTTCTATTATAGAAAATAGCACCGAAGAGTTTAATAAACCACTAATTTATGATTACTATCAATTTTGGAAACAAAGTAAGCACTATGATCTTGAGATTATCTATAAAATTCACAGAGGACTTTATAAAGTCGTTTGCATTAGTTGAATAACTGGAATGATTCAACCAAATTGTTTTATTTCTTTAGAACAGACTTTGAGATCTCCTTAGGCCCATGGTTAATTTTAAGAACTCGATTCTGACAAAACCTCGACTATTGCTGCCGAAATTTTTTATGATTAAAGAAGAACTTTCTTTGGAATACTTAAAGTACTCTTCCTAGTAAATTTTCGAAAAGGATTTGATATTTAGTGTCTTCTCAAAATCAGGACTGCAACATAACACGTTGATATAAATAATCTAAAGCTTAACTATAACCCCAGCTCCTATTCAGAGTAATGCTGGTATAAACTTAGGATGGTAATTTATTAAGAAACTTTTGGGATGGCTCATGAATCTATAAATTTATATCTTGGTAGGTTTCAAGGTTACTAAATTCTACAAGCAGATACAAGTCAGTAATTATAAATATTCACAAATTGTCAATTCTATCTACCACTGTTATTAAATTTTCTAAATAAACATAGCACAAGATTGTGGTTGAGTCAGCATCTTTATTTCTACTCTTTTTGGAACCCATTGCTAGTTTTCTATGTGGAAATAAGCCTAATAGAACCCAAAGTTTAACACAATTGCCTTCGATAAAGATTGATGTCAAAATCTTTGGTAATGTACAGGCCAGACTCTGAACTCACAAAGGAAACATTTAGTTAAATTTTATCAATAGAATATTTTAGATTAACTTTCAGTGAGGGAAGGCTTTAAAACCTGAGCTCTCCTTGTGGCATAGACTTCATAGCTCTAAGAATCTTTGTGGACGATTTCTTTTGACCGATTCTGCATTTCTCCTTCCAGCTTTGGGGGCTTCCATTATCTCTTACTACAGTAGGAGTAGGACTCTTGTCCGATGGAAAAATCTGATGAAATTTTAGGTTTTCAGATAAGCTTTCTTTAGTTTTAAAACGAGAAGCAGTATATGATTCCCTTTGGTGAGGTTTATAGTCACATCTCTTCTTTTGCTTAAAATGGTTCTTTTGGGGAAGGCTTGAGTTTCAAGCATTATGGTTATCAACCATACCATCAAGCTCTATTGGAGAGGTGGTTGCATCCTTGTTTGTTGCAAGTCAGCTCTTGTTGCTCTCCCAAGTATAAACTCTATTTTTACCAGAAGATTCATTATAGTCTTCGGTGACATTTCAGAAGGAATCATCCCAGAGCTTGTGAATTGGAATACTTTCTGACATGAATGTTATAAATTATTATTAAACTTTCAATCTTGTAGCTAAATAATGGGGTTTTGGGGTTTTGGGGTTTTGGGG